GTGCTGGGAATTGGACTCAGGACCTCTGGAAGAGCAGCCAGTGCTCGTAACTGCTAAGCCATCTCTCCAGGCCACCCCCCATTCCCATCTTATAGGTGAAGAGATTGCAGCATAGAGAAGCGACTAACCCTAAGTAGCTTAGGAAGAACTTCAGGCGCTGTGCTTTGGAAGCCCCGCCCCCACAGCAGTAGCGCCGCCTCCATGCCTGTTGCGAGTAGGAGGGGTGGGGAGGTGGGTGCAGTCCCTCTGAGTCCTATCCCCAGGTAACTCAGCTGAACCTACCTTCACTCTGGTCCTGAGGTTGTTGAGGCTGAAGAGGCTTTGTGGCTAAGCCCATAAAGACCTCAGCTGGGTTATATTTAGAGCACAGTTTCCGTGGCTGTTTTGAATAACGCAAGGCTCGCTGGATGGCAGGTGTTTGTAGCAAGAATTTTTTTTTAAGTGTTACTAGGGCTATTGACTGTAGGGCCCTGAACAGCTAGGAAGCGAGAGCCTCTACCATTGAGCTGCTTCCCCAGCTATTTCTTACTGGGATTAAGAGAAGACAGATGGCCCAGGGGAGCTCAGGATAGAAGGTCAAAGGTGCCGTCTCGTCCTGCTGCCCTGGACTCTTGTTTCTTTCTGGGAACCTGTAGCAAGGCTTCTTGTCGGACTATCGTTGGATCACCAGGCCCCAAATAATGACATGGAGACTTATTATTAATTATGCAAGCTTGGCCTTTATCTTAGGCTGGTCTCCTACTTGCTCCTATAACTTAAATTAACGTGTTTTTAGTAATCTATGTTCTGCCACAAGGCTTTTAATCTCTCTTTCATTCTGTATGTCCAACTTGTTCTGCAGCATCTCCCTGGAGTCTTTCCACCTCTTTTCTTCCCAGAGTTCTTCTCACTCCTGCCCTCTCTCTCCCTCCCTCCCTCCCTACCCCAGAAGTCCCCTCTATTCTCTTCAGCCTAGCTATCAGCCTTCCAGCTCTTTATTAACCCAACCACAGAGACACATCCTCACACGGTGTAAACAAATAAACAGTCTACAACACTCAACAGCGATTCATTGCTTCTACAACACTCACAGCGATACATTGTTTCTAAAACACTCACAGTGATACATTGTTTCCATCTCTGCCGTCTGCCTAGACAGTGGAAAACCGCAACAATGTAGCAATGGAGAGTGCTTCAGGGCAGCTGAGAGCAGAAGGAGAGGAAGGCAGGAGACTCCAAAACCAGGCTCTTATACTTCATCCAGACAACCACAGGCTATGCTTGGAAGTCAGCAAAACAGCCGGCCACAAAACGCCATTGAGGAGTGATCTTTGCTAACCCCCCAAGGAACTAGATCCCAGCTAGCCACCCAGAACAGCTGCCAACAGCTGAGCTCTGTTGGATGGACAGAAGCTGATGTGGCCCACTTACTGACTGAAATTTCTGCATGTACATTGAATTTAGGGGAATTTTCATTGTTATATAAATGTATGAATTAGAGTCGGCAGTGTTCTTTCATGATTGTTCTGCCAACACATAAAACAGAACAAAACTGACTCACCCCCATCCCCAGAAATGGTCACAAATAAAATCTCAAGGCAAAACCAAAACCAAAAGCCAAAAAAATTGTTTTAACAAATGAATGTTCCACTAAAAACCTATCATGCATACATAGGGTAAAGTCCGAATTCCTTTACAGGGCACACGAAACTCCATCAAGATTCATCCTTTGGGTACCTCCGGGTCATCCCTCAGCCTGGAAACCCTGAAGCCCATGCCTACTTCCTCCAACATTCTTCTTTCAATCAGGGGGCAGGAGACCACTGCCTATGAGGCCAATATGATTTGGAGCCGAAAGTGACTTTGAGCATGTTTAAAGTTTATAAAAACCAAAAAGATCATATTTTATGACAACTGAAGATGATAAGAATTTAAATTTCAGCCGGGTGGTGGTGGCTCATGCCTTTAATCTCAGCACTTGGGGAGGTAGAGGTAGGGGGATCTCTGTGAGTTCAAGGCCAGCCTGGTCTACAAGAACTAGTTCCAGGACAGGCTCCAAAGCTACAGAGAAACCAAGTCTCCCAGTCTCGAAAAACAAAACAAAACAAACAAAAACAGAATTTAGATTTCAAAATCCATGGATCAGATTTTATTGGAACACTGCCATAACCGTCTGTGCTACAAACGGCAGAGCTGAGTAGTTAGGACTGAAACCGTGGAGCCTGAAATGTTCCCAGCAAGTTAGCTCTATGCTGGAACTTGCTGTGTAGACCAAGCCGACCTCACAGAGATCCGCCTGCCTCTGCCTTCCAAGGGCTGGGATTAAAGGTGTGCACCACCACCGCCAGATTATGTGTGCTTTTTTGGGGGGCAATCAGTGTTGGCAGTTTCAGTCCCTGATTGTCAGGTGGCCTGTGACTTTGGGGGCTGTAGCGAGGCAGTACATCACAGTGGAGATGAGTGGAAAGGAATCCCTTACCTCATGTTACCTTTGACGCAAAGAGAAGAGAAAGGAGATGCTTGCGTCATGTGAGCTTCTTTGAGGAACACTCCTCTTCAGCCTCACCTCTCACTGGGCCACACCTCAGTAGTGTCAACCCGAGGACCCAGCCTTTAATATGTAGGCATTTGGAAAGACTCCAAGTATGACATTTGCTACATAGTTGTTTTTCCATACTGTCCAGGGAGGATATTTTCAGAAAACAATTTTTTTGTTTGTTTATTTTTTATTTTTTTTCCCCCAATGTGATCATTTTCTAATGATCCTAGCTGAACTGGAAGGCCTTGGTTGATATGTGAGTCTGGGGTGGAAGGTCCTCTTGGATGTGCCTCAAATTTTATGTCTACTCATCTGTCTCTGGGAGGGCAGGATAACCCGATCTTCTGTTTCTTACGCCCTCCGTGAAGGTCCATGCATGACGGTGAACATTAATATTGGCGCATACGATGAAGAGCGTTTTATGTCCCCTCTTCTTAGTTGAAGATGGGAGAGTGATTTAGCTTGGTGATGGAGTACTGGCGTGTCCAGGCCCTGGATTTGATGCGATTTCCTTCCAACACCACAAGAGATAAGAATGCTCACATGTGTAGCCTAGAGAAAGGGGTCAAGTAGGAAGTTTGAAGAGTTGTTGCGAAAAACCTGGTGAAGATCAGAGCTGCTCCTGTCTATCACCATGGGGCCTGGGATTGGCAGGGGCCTGTGGGGTTTGTGTAGGGGGTTTAGAAGTCTACAAGGGTGAGGTTCAGGGTAATGAATAGCGTATAATAAAGCCTTCCAGGAGAAGGTACTCACAGCAGTTCAGTGAACAGCAGTTGGAGGCTTCACCGGTAGCTTGTTTGTGCATTCTTTACAGCAGCGGTTCTCAACCTGTGGCTTGTGATCCCTTTAGGGGTCGAACAACCCTTTCACAGGGGCTGCCTGAGATCCTATGAAAACACAGATAGTGGGGCTGGAGAGATGGCTCAGGGGTTCAGAGCACTGACTGCTCTTCCAGAGAACCTGGGTTCAATTCCCAGCATCCACATGGCAGCTCTGTTGTGGCTCCAAGATCTCACACCCTCACACATGCATACAATGAAAGTAATTTTATGATTGGGGGGTCACCACAACAAGAAGAGCTATATTAGAGGGTTGAAGTCTTTGGCAGGTTAAGAACCACTACTATGCTCAACAGAAAGCAATATCCCTCTGCCGGGCGGTGGTGTCAAACGCCTTTAATCCCAGCACTTGGGAGGCAGAGGCAGGTGGATCTCTGGGAGTTTGAGGCCAGCCTGGTCTACAAGAGCTAGTTCTGGGATGGGCACCAAAGCTACAGAGAAACCCTGTCTTGAAAAATAAAAAAAAAAGAAAGCAATATCTCCGCAGAAATGGTTGAAACTATGGCTGTGTCAGTACCCAGCTTCTAAACACCTCCTGTTTTAGAGCAGGGTTCTCTCTTGCCTTCCAGTAACTTGCACGGACAGACAATTTCATGGGCCTTGCCAGTCCACTCTTTAAAGATGGCCATCTATGTTCTAGCAACTGTGTGCCTCATGGCTGCAGCAAAATACTGGAGGAAAACAAAAACAGCTGAAGGAGGGAAGAGCTGGCTATGGCCTACAGCTCGGCCTTCGTCCATCCATCCTGAAGGGAAGGTGTGGCCGTGGGGAACTTGAGGCGCAGTAGTCTGCAAAGGGAAAGCCAGGGATTCTAGTGCTCAGCTTGGCATTTTTCTTTTTATTCAGCCTATGAAACGATGTTGCCTATAGCCAAGGTGGGTCTTCTCACCTGTGCACCTGATCTAGATAATTCTTCAGAGCCTTGTGCCCTGGGTCAGTTTAGAGCCTGCCAAGGGGTCACTATTAAGTAGCATAAGCTTATATGAATCAAATAGACCTTTCTGTATAAAACATCAACCTTAGCACCCACAGATGGCTCAACTATGACAAACGAAGCTTCGTTTAAAAAGAAAATAACCCAGTTTTCTGGCCCTGTGCGGTGGTGGCAAAGGCCCTTAATCCTAGCACTCTGGAGGCAGAGAGGCAAGCAGACATGTATGAGTTTGAGGTCAACAAATTGAGTTCCAGGACAGTCAGGGCTACCAAGAGAAACACTGTCTCTAAAAAAAAATCAAAAATCAAAATACAAACAAACAAACAAACCCAAAATAAACCGGGTGGTAGTGGCGCATGCCTTTAATCCCAGCACTTGGGAGGCAGAGGCAGACAAGTCTCTGTAAATTCAAGGCCGGCCTGGTCTACAGAGTGAGTTCCAGGACAGTCTCCAAAGCTACACAGAGAAACCCCTCACCCCAAAAAACCCCAAAAAACAAAAACCCCAAAACCAAACAAAAACCAACCAAACACACAAAAAACAGTACAATCTAATCTATTCAATATTTGCAAGCATTGATTTGAAGGTATTGGCTTGGTAGTTTAGGAACTGGTCCCAAAGAGCCAAGAGTCACTCTCTAGGCAGAAAATCTATTTATTATTTGGGTCCAAATAACAGCTTTTTGAAGAAGGAACTTAGGACACAGCGTCTCTCTAATGTCAGGGAATGCCCAGATGCGCAACAGGGACAGCACAGAGGACCGTGCTTCTGGCTAGGGGTGGATGACTTGCTCAACATTGGCCTGGCCCGAGAGCTTGGCTTGGGTCTACAGACTGTGCCTGATATTCCTGGAAGGTGACCTCGCTGGTAAATGTTTAACAGCTGGCTGTGGGGTAAGGGTGGGAGAGGGGGGTGGAGGAGAGGTCGTGGTTGGGAAAAGTGGCAGCATTTGCCCATTCGCATGGCAGAGGCCCGCCAGAGCCCACTTCAAACCTCCAATATAACTGCCACTAAGCAGTTCACAGAATTTCTGATACATAGCCGCCAGCTCCAGCCACACACCGTGAGTAGGGGTCAGAACCTGGTACCCAAAATCGGTGTTTGCCGAGGACCCCTCATCTCACCTTCATCGCAATAGCTTAATTTCCTGTCAAACCTCCCAGAGATTCCAGACGTCAGTGAGCAGCCAGGCCTGACAGTCTCCCGCTCGGGCCGGAGTCTTCCAGTCCCCTTCGGACTGCAGAAATTCTAGAGGCCTCACGCTCCAGTGCCCCGGTGGGGGCGGAGGGTGCACGGAGGTCCCTTCCCAGGTCTGGTGGGAAACGCAGCTCGGCCTGCTTTGTGGCTGCTCCATAGCTCTCTGTGCATGAGAAAGGACCAGTGGCAGGTGGCCTCGGGGCGGCAATCAATAGCGGCAATTGTCCCCCCGTGTCAAAAGGATGCGCCAGAAAACGTTACCAGCAAGGGAGGAGGCGTGGGGGTGGGGTGCTGCTCTCAGTGAATTAGGCCTTTTCTATAGATTCCATAAGGGCTACATAATGAGCAGCTTTTACTCAGCTACCTCTGACCTCTGGGGGCCGAGGAGGGGCCAACCCCTCCCCTGCTAAACCATGCTCTGCCTTCGTTTACCTGGCCTTGCTAGGGGTACCCGCTGGGGTGTAGGCTGTTGGAGGATTAGTGGGGACGGCCACACTTCTCTGCACTCGCTTTCCCTATCTGCAGAATAGAGACCTAAAGACTCAAGTGCTCAGCGTGGGGGCAGCCGTAGTATTTTTCATTTTCTACCCAGGTCCCCCGCTAGACTACATCTAACCCCTGTAACTAAATGTCTAAATATGTGAGCCCAGGGCAGCTCCTTCCTTCTTTTCTCACCCCCCCTTGCTTTCCTTCCTCTTCCCTCTCTTCCATCTGTGAACGGCGGTCCTCCCTGCCTCCCAGGGGTGGGAGGATTAATGAGATAATACAGAAGTCGGCTGCTCTGGGGGAAAAAGGTGTTATGTACATGGAAGGTGTAATTATTATCATGTAACTACACGACTGTTTAGATTGTTCCTAGCCTGGCAGTTTCAAGGTGTTTTGACAAGCAAGTTAGCTAAAGCTGGAAACCCATCCTAGGGGTGGGGGCAGCTGAGAGCCCCTCTGGGCAGCCTGGAGTCTCCAGATGAGCCCATGTCTTTGCTCTAGACAGTAGCACTCTGGGGTGTGAGGGGAGCTGGTGCCACTGATGGCTTCACCTCACCCAGGATCTGGGGAAGGCCCCAGTGTGGCTTCACAGACAGCTCAGTTAGGATGGAAATGTAGGCAGGAACATAGCAATTCTGTAGCTGGATTTTGGTATAGGGTTTAGTAAACTACAGTCTTAGTGTGTTCTGCCTGTCCCTAATATTTAGTCGCTCACTGCCCTGTTGTCAATACCAACACCATCTTTACCATCCCTTAGGGAGTGCCCAAGAGAGCACCCCCAATATAAGCACACACACACACACACACACACACACACACACACACACACACCTCCTCTTCTTTCTAGATGTTTCTCTCCAGGAATAGTGTGCCAGTGGAGGGGGAGGTTGCATAGAAACAGACGTCACCGTCTTTGAAACATCGGAGACGTGGTCTGGGAAAACAGGATCCAGTATCACGTGCCCCTAGTCAGGAACTGGATTCAGACTCCAGACAGCATCCCAGGCCAAAAAGTCGGTGGCTTGTCCTATTTTGTACCTTTGTCTCCTTGCCTTTTGACAGGTTGATGGGAAAACCACATGAAATATTTTGTTGCCAGCATCAGGGATGCCAGATAATGAAGATGACGGTAGTCAGCTGTGTCAGAGAGAGCCCTGTGGGACCCTCAGAATACTAGGTCTCCCTTAACTTTAAGATTCTGACCCCTCCCTGTCTTAGACAGTTGGGGAAACTATACCAAAGACCATCAGACTGTGACACACATGGACAACAGCAGTGTACGGCTTGCTGGAGGCTGAAAAATCCAAGATGGAGGAATCAAAAGCTTCCTTATTCAGTGAGGGCCTTTGGTTTCCTAACTTGCACTTTGGGTCTGCATCCAAACATGCTTCATCTGGTCAGCCAGAGGCTCCAGGAAAGGAAGGGCCTTTTTTCAAACCAGTGTAGGCAACAGCTTTGAGAGTTCTGGGTTCTCGGTCTCCTTGGGCACCCATATCAGACAAGGGGGCAACCCAAGAGCTGTCAGTCGTCCCCAGGGATCAGGGAAGCGGGTGGGGTGATGCTTTCTTTAGCAGGAGCACCTAGCAAATTGTCTCCACCTTCCTCTCTCAGTGAGGATGCTGCAGCCAGCCTACTTCTTTCCCTCTGTCTTCTTCAGGCCTCCATTCGGGGCCCTCACCCCTGCCAGCACAGCAGAGGTACCAAGCCCACGGAGGTCCCTCTTGCCAGAGGTGCTTGTGACTGAAGAGACCACAGCCAAGCGTGGCTTTTCATAGAGCAGAAGACAGTTCAGCAGTGGGAACGTCTGGACAACTCTTCCATTCAGAAGTGAGTTGAGAGGCACAGGGCAAAAAACCAGAGGGAAAGAAACCAAAGCATGACGGTGTTTATGTAGCCGCTTAGAGCAGCTTGACTAATTCACAAAGACCTGAGTCTAAGGGTAATTACTTGCTTGATACTGACTTGGAAAGGGTGTGAGGGACTTCTTGGGCTGCCGTTAATGCTTTATGGCTCGGTTGGGGCGGTGGATGCTGCTGTAAAAATTTATCATGACATCAATCCAAGTTGTGTACTTAAATGTCTGCATCTCAATGTTTTATAAGTAGTGCTTATAAAACAAACAGGCCACCTAGACAAGGCAATGTCCCTAGGGACAATATGTTACCTACTCCCTCTAAATCTCTGTGTGATGTCTTTCAAGACTGCTCTGGGGGTTAGGATACATTCGTGCAGTAATAAGGAATGTGTTATTCCACAAGGGATACAATTCAGGTCCCTCTGGGTTGAATGCAACTGCAGACATTCCCTGACCCTGTATGTGTGCCATATTTTGTCCATATGTTCTGCAGCATGGCCTCAGAGTTCATCTGTTCTTGGGGTTTTACGCCCTAGTGCCTTGTTTACATTAATACTCCTGCACTTTGGGATCGTCATTAAGTAAAATAAGGGTTCCTTGAAACTAAGCTCTGTGTTACTAGGATAACCAGTCTGTAACTGAGATGGTTCTGCAGTGACTATTGGGTAGGTAGCTAATGTAGGGTCGAGACACTGACCTAAGGGTTGATTTAGTGATCCAGGAGGGTAGCATGGATTCCATCGTGCTACGTGGAACAGTGTGTGCTTTCTCCTCTGGACTAAGTATTATTTTAAGGCTATGGTTGACTGTAGCGACCAAAACTATGGAAAATCAACCTGCCGATGGAGATACTACTGTGTATCAAGTGTTGTATTTATTAGTAATCTGTTTAATTTCACTTTTCTGAAGAGTTTTGACCCTAAGCATTCTGGGTAGTATGTGGCTTCACACCCTTTAAAGATGTCCTTTTGAGCTTTTGAGGTGAACCTCTAAGAGTGAATCCCCCCGATTTGCCCTCCTTTCTTTAGTCTGGTCATGAAATTGTGGTACCTAGATATCTTGTTCTAGTCCTTGAATCTCTTGGGAGGGAAGAAATTCTGGTCTCTTGGTTATAAGAAGCTCCTGCTGTGAGAGTCCCCTCTGTGTGCTGTGATTACCATTAATGAATTAAGAAACTGCCTGTTGGGCTGGAGAGATGGCTCAGTGGTTAAGGGCATTGCCTGCTCTTCCAAAGGTCCTGAGTTCAATTCCCAGCAACCACATGGTGGCTCACAACCATCTGTAAAGAGGTCTGGCGCCCTCTTCTGGCCTTCAAGCACATACACAGACAGAATATTGTATACATAATAAATAAATAAATATTTTTTTAAAAAAAGAAACTGCCTGTTGATAGGGCAGAACTTAGGTAGGCAGGGAAGACAGAACTGAATGCTGGGAGAAGGAAGGCAGAGTGAAGAGAGACGTGGGGCCGGAACTTTAGCCGGTAAGCCACAGCCACGTGGCGATACACAGACTAATAGAAATGGGTTAAATTAAAATGTAAGAGTTAGCCAATAATAAGCTAGAGCTAATGGGCCAAGCAGTGATTTAAATAATACGATTTCTGTGTGGTTATTTCGGGGATGAGCAGCCGGGAATGACCGAGTGGCCTTCATCCAACAAGCTCCTTGTTGGGAGGATCCTTGGGTCTCCCACAATTCCTCCTCTACTGGGGATTCACAGATGGTTTCTCCTGGAGACTGAGCAGGTGTAAGCTGCATTAAGTCTACACCCTACTTTCTCCTCCCTGCGCCGCTGCTGGTGGGAACAGGCATGAAATGGAAGGGAAGCTATGGGGTGGGGGTGGCTGCAGAGGAGCCACAAAAGGAATTGAGCAATTTGTTTCTGGTGCTCCCTATCTAGAGCCTTGCCGGCAGCCTATACTTAGCAGGGACAAGGTGAACTCTCCGATTAGCTTCCAGTAATGGGCCTCTCGGGTCTTTCCAGGGACTTGATGAAGGCATCTGGGGTGCAGGTGAATCCCTGCCAACTGTTCCCTTGGCTGAGTCTGCGGGGCAGAAGACAGCCACAACTTTTCTTTCAAAATCAGAGCTGAGCTAACTGTGCCTCCGAAAAATGCTGACACACAGCCCAAAAGCGATCAGACATATCTCTTCCATTTCTTTTTCTGCTGCTCTCCGTGAAAGCTGCTGGTGTTTGATGAGCAGAAACAAGCCGCCCTGCTGAGATTTTTCTGCTGGAGCCAAGTGTTTCTGCCAAGCGTGCTGAGCAGCCGCCATGTTGAAGGGACAGCTCTGTGCAGTCAGCTCCAAGAGAGGCCTCCCCCTGCATCTGTGGGACCTGCAGGATTTCCCATCATTCCTTCTTTGCACAGCGGCCACATTTAAGGGTGTGTGAGTGTGTACATATGTACACACACACACATACACATATACCACGTACACACATAAACATGCACACATCATGAGACCCAAGGTTAATATGGAAGATGGAGAGATTGATGTATTCTATGTTGCCCTGAAATTTGCTTGGAAACACTCACCCGTAACACACCTTTAAGGAAAGTAACACACCTTTAAGGAAAGTAGTTCCCTTTTGAATGGTGTCTTTCTTCTACTTCCTGGGTTTGTTTAGTTACTTCTGGTACAAGGAGAGCCTGCGTGTCCGAGTCTTACTCCACTCCCACAGCGGTCTGCCTTCCACCTGTCTTTCTGTGCTAGTCTTGGGGGTGGGGCGGGGGCAGGAGATGCCATTCGTTATTTTGTTGTTTTGGGGGCTCACTAAGGGGCCTTCTGTGATGTCAAATCAAACCCTAAAGTTTGGGAGCTGAGGGGAGTCAGCCACATCCTCCCTCTCCACCTTTGGCGGTACGGTAATAACCGGTTTAATTGCTCCCACAATGATCCCAGCATGACCCAAGGAAAGCCCAAGAGAAAACACACACCTAAGATGATGTCCAAGTGGGTCCTTTCTGGGGCTTCCAGGGAACTTTTCTGTTTGTTTTGAGACTGGGTTTCTCTGTGTAACAGCTCTGGTTATCCTGGAACTAGCTTCACAGATCAGGTTGGCCTTCACTCAGAGATCCCTCGTGAGTGCTGGGATTAAAAGCATGTGTCACTACACCTAGCCCGGGGTACCATTTTGGTTGTTGTTATTTTGTGTTGAGAGCCTCTGCTCCTACCAGATGCGGTCTGCCAGGGCTCTAACTGCTCTGGCCTTGCTGGCTCTTCCCTTTCTTCCTCAGATCTATTTTTCAGCGGAACCGAGACACCCTGGATTACCCATGCAGTATAATTTTACCATGCCCAGAGGAGCAGAGATGAACAGGGGGAAAATTACAGGGGTTTTTTGCCTGTTTCCTGGTGGAACTTAGGTTTTTCTTACCTTAGCATCTAAATGAAGACAAGAGGATAAAGCCCAGGCCACAGGGCCACAGCACCACTGCTAAGCCTCCCAGAAGTTACCATGGCTAAAAACTGGAATTCCTCCCGGCTTCTCTCTTTAAAACACAACGTTTTACTAAATGGGGTTGGTTGCCCGCTGTTAAGACAATGGGCCTGTCCAAGCATCTTGTTCAGGAATCAAGGGAAGAAAGACACGGTGGGGCCCAAGAACAGACGAGCTGCTCCCAAGAATGGAAAACAAATGAGCCGAGGCATAAATGGATGGAAAAACAAAAGGAAGAGATTCCTTGAACAATGCGGACTATTGAAGGGGAGCCGCACGGACAGAGGCCCAGGTCGTGGGACCAGCTGGGGAGTGGTGGGACAGGGGAGTTGAGCTGTCAGCATGCAACTCGGGCAGAGGAGGAGAATCCCGCACGCCCTGTGCTCCCATTTCCTTGCGGCTGTCCCCTGACCTGCTGCCTGAAAAAGGAGCAGGGAGGCTAGATGCACGCACGCACGCACGCACGCACGCACGCACGCGGAGAGTTCCTGAACCATCTGCCCCCTCTCCCAACCTGGCTTGGGTCCGCCGTGGACAATCTACAGTGGTCTTTCTTCTCTGCCTGAGAACATCCTGCAGGGAGGCCCACGGGTAATTTCAGTGAAACCTACAGACTCCTGAGTAACTCGATCTCATTGTCCCTGTGGATAATGGAGCCTCAGGGAGCTGAGGACAATAATGGACCTGGGGGATCTCCCTGGCCCCAAAGTGGAATTGAGGTATCTCTTTCTTTCTAGAACACATGATCACCTCACCCCCAGGGTACATCCATGAATGTCATGTTAGAATCATGAGGGATTGGGGCACACGGGGAAGATTTTTGTCCAGCTGGAGTCCCCACAATTATTTTCTTTTGTGGAGCACAGATTCTTTTCGACTTACGATGGAGTTCTGCCTTGTCAGTGGTCCAGGCTCATCGTAAGTTGAACATATTTTAAGTTGAAAACAGACTGAGCGTATCCAACCTGTGGAACATCATAGGTCACAGAAGTCTGGGGAGTTGAAGGGAGAGGCCAGAGAAAGGCGGGCAAAGGGTCACATTTCCCAAGGTCAAGTGAGCCTTGTGGTTGTGCACCTGGAGAAAACACTGGCTGGGGAGTAGATGCCACAATGCCACGTGGTGATGGCTGCAGAGGGACGGTCTCAGCAGTGTGACACAAGCCAGGACACCGAAGAGAATCCCACTGAAGGCAAGAACACTTGCCTCTCACTGCATAGGCCTGGCTGGCTGGTACTTGCTATGCAGTCCAGGCTGGCTTTGAATTTGCAGCAATCCTCCAGCCTCAGCCTCTCTGGTACTAGGATTGTGGGCATGTGCCTCCAACCCTTTATGAGATAAAATAAATAAATATAAATAAGTAAATAAAACTATTTGCACACAATGTGTAGTGAGAAAATCAGGGCAAAATAAGGATTTCTGTCTTCTCAAATATTTCTATTTACCAAGAGATTTTGCTCTTACTTCTATTTCATCTTTTTAGAGGTATTTATTTTTATTCGTATGGGCGTTTGGCCTACATGCATGTCTGTGCACCATGTGTCTCGTGGGAACCAGGACTGGACTAGAGGGTTGTGTGATATTTTGTTTGTGTTCTGGCAAATAAAACTTGCTTGGGTGGAGACAGCCACTAGTTAACCATAGAGGCTGGGCAGTGGCGGCACACGCCTTTAATCCCAACACCAGACAAAACGTTAATCTAATTAATCTAAATCAATAAAGATCCAGAAGTCAGAAATGGGGTAAAAACTTGGAAGGTCAGAGAATTGAAAGCAGCCGCTAGCTTCTCTCTACCTGTCTCATTCCACATCCTGAAGGGCTGAGATCCTGTCTTTGTCCCTCCTTACCACTTCCTGTCTCCACCCTGGAGTGCTGGGATTAAAGCCATTCTTATACAACCCACGAGCACCTTCCCATGGGTGGCACCGCCCACCTTGAGCTGGTCTCCCTTCACGTCCATCATTAGTCAAGACAGCTCTTCAGGTGTGCCTGCAGGCCAGTCCTATCGAGGAGGCATTTTCTCAGGTAAGAGTCCCTCTTCCCAGATGTATCTAGGTTTGTGTCGGGTTGACAGGAGCCAACCATCGCTGTCTTCCACAGTAGCCGTCCTACCACCTACGTAGAAGTGTTTCTCCCTCTGTGCTCTTACCAACATTTGTTACTTAGTCCTTGAATAATGGCTGTTCTGACTAGGGTGAGGCAACGGCTCATCGTGCCTTTGTTTGCAACTTTGCTCAGCGATACTGAGCATCTTAATCTAACTCAGGGTCATTTGTATGTCTTCTGAGAAACATTCAGACCATTTGCCCACCTTTTTTTCCTTTCTGTCTTCCTGGGACAGGTTTTGTTTTGTGTGTGTGTGTGTGTGTGTGTGTGTGTGTGTTGTAGCTTTTGCTCTCCTGGAACTAGCTCTTGGAGACCAGTCTGGCCTCGAACTCACAGTGATCTGCCTGCCTCTGCCTCTTGAGTGTTGGGATTTGCCCACTTTGGTTGCATGGCTTTCACTGCAACATGGTTTCAGTTCCTTAGGATATCTTTGCCGGTGGGCAGTCTGCATAGCTCCTCACACGGTCATCCCTGCGCCCTGTTAACTGTTTCCTTTGCTGTGTAGAAGTGTCTTAGTTGGATATAATCCCTCATGTGTGTTTTTACTTTTGTCTGTGTTTTCGGAGTCTTGTCCACAAATATCCACTCCTATCCCATGTCTTAGAGCATGTCCCATCTCCTTCCAGTAAGTTCAAAGTTTCGGGGCTTTAAGTCCTTGATCCTTCTGAGTTGGTTGTTGTGGATCACGAGAGGTGGGGGTTAAGTTTCATGTTTCACATACTGCCTGACTCTTGCCAAAAATGTTGTGGGGGCCAAATTCCCCGGCAATGGGTGGGAACGCCGGTCCCCCCACATCCTCTCCTATTTTTCATTGTCCCCTGCTGCAGTTCTTCTGGGAAGCGTTTGTTGATTGCCCAGCAGACCTTGGTGATTTGTATCAGTTAATTACCTTCAGACGTGTGACACCCGTAAGACATCTGTACTTAAGTGACAAGAGAGACTGTCGACTTTTGCCAAAACTTCAGCCACCAGAAGCTCTGGGGCATGAGCTCTGCCTCATGATCTGCCGCTCCAAGGGCTCCTTCCCTTTGTTTCACTGATGCGCCCACAGTGACGATCCTATCCCGTGTCCGCTGACCCGTGTAATTTCTTACATCGGTCCCCACATTTCTCAGTCTTGTCTCTAGAAGATCCTGGAAGCTTTTCTTCCTTCCTTCTTTTTTTTCCTCCCTCTGTCTTTCCAGAGAGAGTAAAACATGGTAGGTTCTGGATTTGAATCCTGCTGTTAACTTGGGCAAATAAATGACATTCCCTCTCTGTTCATTGAGTTTCTTCATAAGTCAAAATGGGATTAATAATCATATCGATCTCCTGGTTCTTGTGAGGCTTAGGGAAGGTGAAACAGACAAAGGGACCTTTGTGGGAACAAGAGATTCAAGTTCTCACACCCATAAAACCTGCTACCCACCAGCAATCTCTCCTTCCTTGTCAGCAGTGATTGAAATGTGGCCGTCCCTCCGCCCCTCATCCCTTATCTTATTAAGAGACAGAGAGGGAGAAAGGACACCCCCAGGAGATACTGGAGAAAGCCAAGATGTCTCCAAGGATGAGCTGGCTACTGATCTGTACCATAGATGAGAAAAATCCCCTTAAACTTCGAGGAAGAGGTTTCTTTAAAAATGCCATCTTCATGACTAACAAAGATCACCCAGCTCAGACTGCTCCTGACAACCGGATAAGACGCTTGCCTGTTCTCTGTCAGTGGCAGCCCCAGGCTCCCGAGGTCTGTGCGGTCCCCTGCCTCAACCCATTTATTGCCCGAGAGTTACTGATTTAGATTTGGTTTTTATTTCCATAATAACTGGGACATTATGTCTGGTATCAGAGGTAGCTCATACCGAGTATGGAGAAGTATGGAGCCTCGAGTAATAAATAATAGATACAGTTATCATCTTAGGTGAGGAGGTAGGTCATTTTCCAAATATTTCCTTCCTTCAGCTCAGTTGTTGGTAATTGTTGGGGAGGAATAAGACCCAGAAGAAAGATATGCTCGTGTGTGTGTGTGTGTGTGTGTGTGTGTGTGTGTGTGTGTGAGAGAGAGAGAGAGAGAGAGAGAGAGAGAGAGAGAGAGAGAAACAGACTGGCTGGGTGTGGTGGCTCATTCTTTAACATCATTTAAGAAACTAAGGCAGGAGAATAGCTGTGAGTTCAAATCCAGTCCCAGCTACAGTGTGAGATATTTTTGAAAAAGCTCCCAATAAATTAGTCAATCAAATAAATAGAGGCCAAAGATGGATATTTGTGTATTAGAAAGCATCAAAAAAAAAAATGAGAGAGAGAGAGAAGCTGAGGAAACCCAAGGACTGGCTGAGGAGGGAGACATGAGGGATGTGGCAGGTTAGGAGGTCGAGGCTGCAGAGTCAACCCTGGCTCCAGGTCTTAAAGGGGAAGCAGAACCGTGTAATGTGGCCCAGCTGTGGGAGCAGCTCCGTGGACCAAAGGTCACCGGAGTGGAGGAGGGCACCGAAGGGGGAAGTCGGGGGACTGGTCAGGTCACTGACATGAGGCTTGAGGTCACCAAGGATGATAACCAGGGAAGGGAGAAAACCTGCGGTGATGCAGAGGCGGGAGGCCGGCCAGATGGTGAAGGTTTAACTGGCGGGACCCCACAGCACTGGCTGGATACTCTTCCTTTCCGCAGCTTTAATGGGGAGGGCGCTGCGAAGCAGAGTGTGGCCTGGCACCTGCAGGTTTGGGCGATGGGGACGGACAGGACCGCGAGGCTGCACGGACCTGGCTTTTGCTGGATCCTGTGGGCCGGTGGGGAGTCAGGAGCCTCTAAGAAAGTAAGAGTGGGATTTTAGGCCCTGCTGGATAGGAATGAGAACAGGGGTGTGGTGGTGGAGGGACTACACATACAAATACATACATACACAGACACATGCACATACTACACCCGTACACATGTGCACTTCTCTACTCTTACACACACACGCCACACCCATACACACGTGCACACACATTTCACACCTCTCCACTCTTACACACACACGCCACACACATATTACACATGCCACATCAGTACACCCATGAACGCACATCTTACACCCACTCACACACACCACAGACATATACACACGCACACATGCACACACACACCTCTCCACTCTTACACACACAGTTACACCCACACACCCATGCACACACATCTTACACCCATTCACACACACCACACACATATAACACACACATACGCACACATGCACACACACATACCACACACTATAACACACACATATACACATGCATGTGTGCACACACACCACAGTTGCTGAAACCTATAAAAGAACCGATTGGTGAAGGAGGCCCCTGGGCTCATCTGCAGGTCTGCCGCAGTGAACACAGGAGTCCAAAGGAAGAGAAAAACGAATCTATTTGTTCCTCCAGAGAGGAGTGGCCGTTTGTTCCTTGGTGGTCTCTGCAGCCTCCGCTGTCCCTGTCCCTCCTGCTTGTGTGGCCATTGGCACTGGCAGGAAAGCCCTTGGCTACCAAGGGAAGGAGCCTTATGTACGTGGTACGGTCACGCTGGGACCGGGAACACATCCTGTGGCCAAAGGGAGAATAAAGGGGCTGCTTCCTGTTGAGCAAACTGCAGGGTTCTCTTCGATGCCCACACATTTGTCACGAGCCAGGGTGTCACCGATGCCCCAGCTCGGGTGCAGCCACCTGCCATTCTTTCTGGCAGCTGATGTGGGATCCCCCCTCTGTATGCTGTGATTACCATTGGTTAATAAAGGAACTGCGTTGAGCCTGTAGCAGAGCTGTAGGGGAATAGCGCTAGGCTGGGGGGGGCGGGACTAAACTGAATGTTGGGAGGAAGAAGGCGGAGTCATAGAGAAGCCACGTAGCCCCCCACGGGAGACAGACGCTGGAACTTTAGCCAGTAAGCCACGGGGCAATACAGAGATGAATAGAAATGGGTTAAATTAATATGTGGGAGCCAAGCGGTGGTAGCACACGCTTTTAATGCCAGCACTCGGGAGGCAGGGGCAGGCGGATCTCTGTGAGTTCGAGGCCAGCCTGGTCTACAAGAGCTAGTTCCAGGACAGGTTCCAAAGCTACACAGAAAAACCCTTTCTCAAAACAAAAAAAAAACAAAAACAAAAAACAACAACAACAACAAAAAAACCAACAACAACAACAGAGAGAGAGAGCGCGCGAGAGCGGGGAGGGGGGGAGGGGGGGAGGGGGAGCGGGGGGGTGTTATTCAACCCTCCTCCTTCCACGGTGAGACAGAGATACATGGCTAACTCCTTAGTTTAGAGACTTTGGCTCCCTGGCTGACCAATTTAGTCATAGACAGGAATACAAATCCAAGAGAGACCTAACTGAGACAGAAAGCAGGCCAGCATGAGTTCTGGGCAGCAGCTTCATTGAGAAACAAACCCAGTGTTTTTGAGGCAAGGCTGTGCCCTGAATCAGGTTTTACAATCTAGGAAGAACCTTCTCGAGAGGGTCCACTTGGTCTATGCACTAGATTTAATTTCAAATCACCCCTGGGCTCTTGAATGTACTTACAGTTCTGAAGTAAGCAGGTGTAGATGGTTTCAGTCAACTCCCTCAAGTTTCTGCTGGTCTCATATCTAGGAAGGAGATGGAATATGGCTTTTCAGGAAAACCAGCTAGTTTGGGTCTGAGCCTAGACAGAACCAGAAACAGGCAGTTCTGGTGGAGGCCAGGCTGGCAAGGGACAAGCTGAGAGGACAGGCTCAGCCCAGGGCTGGGGTGGGAGGAGAGAGGAGAAAGGCTAGGGTAGGGAATTGGGAGGCGGGAGGAAGATTGGGGTGAGAGCCGGGTGGAACTCCTTCAACCCAGGAATGAATGGAGCAAGCAACTGGCTGAAGCAGACGGGGGCCTGGCACAGCACCTTTGTGTGAATTAGAAAAAGATGCGTCTCCAAGCAGAGGATGGGAAAGGAC